ATCCTCGACTCTGTCCAGAGGCTGGAGGAAGAATCTGCGCTTGGACCCAGAGTCCAGGTGGGCTGCATGACCAGGGCCAGTCACTCCCCCCACCGCCCGGCCTCGGTTTCCTCATCTGTACACTGAAGAACAGGAGGGGAGTTGGGAGCGTGGACTGAGCAAGCTCAGCTGCTAGAGTGCTCACCCAGGGAGCACTCCCTCCTTCTCCCAGGTGGGCGGAATCAACCTTCCTTCCTTCCTTCCCTCCTTCCTTCCTTCCCTCCTTCCTTCCCTCCTTCGGACTGAACCCAGAGGTGCTCTCCCGCTGAGCCACATCCCCAGCTCTTTTTCCTATTTTATCTGGAGACAGGACCTTGCCAAGTTGCTGAACTCAGGATCCTCCTGACTCAGCCTCCCAGACCAGGAGAAGAACCAGAGGAAGGTCCCGGTCACAGCCTGGGAAGGTGGTGAGCATCCCAGCTGGGACCAGGGGGAGAGCGTTGTTCCAAGGAGCCAGGGATTGCCTGCCTCACCCATGGGGCGGGAGGAGGAGAGACCCCCAAGCCACAGGGCCTACGTGTATGTCCGGTAAGAGCCGTTAAGGGAAGCAGTCAACAGGTACCAAGAACTTGCATGACGCCTGGCACCCGGCCAAGGGCTTTTGGGCATCATCTCACTAAGTCCTCGCCGAGGTGGGCAGTCTCGTCCCCTCATTCTGTAGGTGAGGAAACTGAACCTCAGAGACGTGAAGCAATTTTCCCCCAGGCACACAGCCCGGAAGGAGCAGAAGTGGAACTTGAATTCTGACCCCTGGCTCCACAGCCAGGGCCCCCACCTTCCAGGGTCTGGGGACGGAACAGACGCAGGGAGAGTGACACTGGGGTGTGTTTACTCAGATGGCTCTGAGCTTCTGGCTGGCTCCTTGGACACAGGGTGACCTGGCGGTGAATATCACAGGGCATGAATGGGGTGCTCCACGCCAGGGGTCCCTGACCCAGAGGGTGGTATGGCAGTCACCATATGGCGGACCCTCTGTCTCTGCTGGGTGCCCGGATCCCACCTGAGACACAGCAGGATTAGGGTCCCATTGAGACCAGCATGGATGGGTCACAACCTGGCCCCAGGGACACTGCACCTTTTGACCAACTTGACTAAGACTAACTGGGCTTGGGCTCGGCCGGCGCTCAGACGGGGGTGGAGCTGTGTGCCGTGCACCTGTGGCCAGCAGTGGGCTGAGTGCGGTGCCCGAGTGGTCTCGCCGGGGTCCCCTAGCATGCTGTCACCTTCTCCACTTTGCTCATCCTTGGTCACAAGGCAAGTGTGTGCCAGGGTCAGATGTGAACCCAGGCTGGTCGGGCTCCCATGGGACTCTGGGCACCCAGGGCTCTTGATGACCCCCCCCTCCCCCCACACACCTAGAGAGGACACTCCACCTCAGGATGAAGGGTCGGGCCAGGGAGTCCTTGGGGTCAACTCCACCTGCTGGCTCAGCCAGTGCTCCCAGCGGACTCAAAAGAGGGACAAGAGTGTGAGACTTGGGGTGGAAGTGCTGGTAGTGATGGGGGGAGGGGGCCCTGAGCCAGGGCCATGGCCAGGGATGGGAAGACAGGTGACAGGTGGGACCTGCTGCCTGGAGCTGAGCAGGGAGCCAAGCAGACCCCCAGAGCCGGGTGGTGTGACGTCCTAGACAGAGATGGGGGCCCAGGAGCCGAGTCCCAGGCAGCCCTGGGGGACACGCCCACAGGCCCTGGGTGCCCGTTGGGGGCACTTCCTGTGGGGAGTCGGTTTGGGGACTCAGGATCCCATCAGGAGTGAATCGGTGACATTGCTGAGTGGAGATAGAGGGACGAGGGGACGGCCACACTCCCTCACAGATATTTGTCAACTTATCCGTCACCTTCCTCAGTTTGTCACCATGAGGGCGCAGGCCCTGGGAACCCAGTGAGCCAGACACGGCACCGTCCTCTGGGGGCCAGACCAGGACGAGAGCTCTGCAGAGGGTCAGGTGAGCCCTGCGAGGGCGCCGGGGAGGGAGGGAGGGGACAGGAGGGCTCTCAGACCTGGGGAGGACAGGGGCACCTCTCGGGCAGAGGAGCTGAGTCCTGAAGGAGTTGGGGAGGCACCTGGAGTCTGCACAGGGGAAGGGGCTCCGCTGTGTTCTGATGGCCTGGAGCCCGGGCAGAGGGCCAGTGTCCCTCGGGGCTTCCGTGAGGACCCTCTGTCTGTGGGGATGGAAGCAGGGAGCCGCTGAAGTGGCAGGCAGGGGACAGAGGTGGCAGGGGTGGGTGGGGGCCAGAGTGGGTGTGCTTGGTGGCAGGGACTGGCCAATGGAGACCCTTCCCAGAAGGATGGTGTTGGTCACCAAGATGGAGCTTGTCAAGGGGTCAAGTAAAAGGAAGGCTGAGCCGTAGCCTCGGGACTTGGGAATTGGCAGGTGACCCCAGGACAAGGAGCCACTGGAAAGTGAGGAAGAGTGAGCTGGCAAGAGACTCGTCTTTTCTCCTCCTCCTCCCCCTCCTCCTCTTCCTCTTCATCCTCTCCTTCCTCCTCCCCCTCCTCCCCCTCCTCCTCCTCCTCCTC